TAATTTCCTTCCAACACCGTCCTCTTCATCTAGTTTTTAGGATTATGATTTTCCATTGCTCTTTTATGCATACAATTTTCACCAATACGTTATTATGAAATTGACGCAACATTTATTCTTAATCATAAATATAATGAAGCACATAGGATTGAATACATAATCACACACTGTCCTTCAACTCTAATAATCAAGTTGTGATGATAACCTGGTAGTGATGCCGATGTGGACTCCATGTTCGCGTCCGTGAGTTCTCATTTGATGGTTGGCCGGAATGTGTTCGATGTAATCTGCTTGCCGTTAGAGTAGATTGACGAGTTGAGAGAGGTTGCGTGTCTCTTGCTGTGATTTACTCCTACTCTAATTAATCATCTATAATTTAGGTTGAAGATCAAAATTGTATTATTACCGTAATTAGGATACCCTGTATTGTCTTATTTGCCCTTTTAATCTCTAATAATTATTCTGGCTTATTTTTTTTCCCTTAAATCTAATCCATTAATCTTATCTAATCTAATGGCTCATATTTGTCCATAGGTTTGTATTTTAAGGGGGTCTGCATGTGAATGCAACCCTATATATATATATATATATATATATATATATATATATATATATATATTAGCGCTCAAATGCGGCAGTGGCTTTAGGTGCTGCGGTGCGGCAATATCAGCATCGTCCATTCTGCTTAATCTAACGGCAGCAGCTAATTTTTGAAGATTTAAAGATTTAAGCGCGTCCTGGTAAGTGGGGGGTGTTATGGTAATTGTAATGGTCATTTATATCGGTCGCTTGTCAGAATACACCAATAGTGTTAACAAAAGACACCAATAGTGTTAGGAAAAAGCACCACAATAAAATGCACAAATACACCAAAAAACACACAACACACCCAAAAAATACACCATATAACTCACTACCCCAATGGTGTATTTCTGAACACTGTGTGATGCTTTTATTCATACCTAATGGTGCGTTATGGTGATGCGTATCTAATTTGTGCATGTTTTTTTGGTGTGCATTTTCTAACATGGATGGTGTATATTTGTATAACTATTAGTGCGCCCGCACTGACCGCCTGAGAAGGCACGGACGCACCTGAACTTGGCACCAACACGAATCCTCAAATACACCACAGTAAGGTTAATAATGCACCAATAACGAACATAAAACACACAACACAATGATTTGATCTATTCTGGTGCCTAATGACGACTTTAACCTTGCAGTTCGCGTAGTGTGAGAACGTGCACGAAAATATCGGAAAAGCCTTGATGAATGTGATTCGTTGAATTTATCTATTCTAATGGCCTACAATTAATCGTACCGCCGCACCTAAGTGCACTGCCGCACTTGAACCTTCCTCTATATAGAATAGCGCTTATTTGTGGTCATGTCATTAGGTGTGGCGGTGTGGTCGTATCTGTGTCGTTGAATCAGTTTAATTTAACGGCGGTGGCTAATTCTGAGGATTTTCGCGCGTGGGGTGCTATGGTAATTACAGTGGCCATTTATAGCGACCGGGTTCTAGAATACACCAACCGTGTTGACAACATGCACCAATAGTGTAGTAAAACGCACCACAGTGAAACACACCAATAGTGTATTCCCGAACACTGTATGGTGTATTTATTCATATGTAATGGCGCGTTTTTGGTGATGCGTACCTAATTTGTGTATGTTTTTTTGTTGTGCATTTCATAACATGGATTTTGTATATTTGTATAACAATTGGTGCGGCCGCACTGACCACACGGGAATCTAAAAATACACCAGAGTAAAGCTAATAATGCAGCAATTACACAAATAAAACACACAACAATGTAATTTTCCCTATTCCGGTGCCTTATGACGAGTTTACCCTTGTAGTTCGCTGGGTAGGAGAATGTGCGCGAAAATACTGGAAGAATCTTTATTAATGTGATTTATTGGATCTATCTAATCTAATGGCCTGTAATTGACCATATGACCACACCTAACAACATGACCACATGTGATCACCCATATATATATATATATATATATATATATATATATATATATATATATATATATATATATATATGGGCACGCTCAAGTGAGAACAGGTGCCCAGGAGAGAAATAAGAACCGTTTACAGCTGTCCATGTGTCCAGATCAACAAATCAAATGTATTTTTAAAAAAACGTCGCGGTGGCATTTTCGTAAATAACTCGAACTTTGATGCAAGTAAATGTGTTATAAGTGTAAATAGCTAGTTCACCCTTTGCAAGTAAAAAGTGCAAGTAAAATCACTTACAAGTGCACCTATTTTCACTTACAAGTGCAAGTAATTTTACCTTGTTAACATTCGTGCACCTAGATGCAACTATTTATAACTATAGGTGCACCAAGTTATAACATTAGGTACACTTTGTATTGACGCTCAGTGTAAATTTATATGCACCTATAATACATTTTACTTGCATTTGTAATACGTTTTACTTGCACTGAGGTGCACTAAATGGAACTGCTACTTGCATTTCGATGTTCAATTATTTACGAAAATGTCATCGATCGCGATTTTTTTTAATCAGTGTTTCTCATCCGTTAGATCTGGACACGTGGATAGATGGCATGCGTTCTCATTTCTCTCCTGCGCGGGCAGTTCGCACTTGAATGCAGCCCTACATATGTGTGTGTGTGTGTGTGTGTGTAACACCTACGATCTAAAAACTGTAAGGCATAACAATGTGCACTGCAAGGCACAACAATGTGCTCTGGAAGTCAAAACAATGTGCTCAGTAAGAAAAAAAAAAAGCAATTAACTTGCACAAAATTACCATAATGCCACCGTGTCTTTTTTTTAGTTTTTTTTTTTTAAAATGCTTCATTCTGAACGTTGATCTCGACCGAATCAATGGATGATATTAGACCCTATTTTTCACCTAAAGCTCCTCTTTCACTTGATCCGTGTTATATATATATATATATATATATATATATATATATATATATATATATATATATATATATATATATGTATGTATGTATACCCCGAAGTCGACGGCTATGGCCTCGGGGTACTTAGAGCATCTCCAATAGTAGTTATAGTTTTTTATGAGTTTTTACAGGTGTGACTTGGAAAATAAATATGAGAGGGAAGAGAAGAGATAGACCAAAAGCAAAAAAAAAAAAAAAAAAAAAAAAAAAAAAAAAAAAAAAAAAAAAGAACCTTTTACGCGCCATGTGGGCATGCAAGTTGCGCCGAACGCGTGAACAAGGTGCAACCATTTTTTCATGCAGGCCCCACATGTTCAGTCCAAAAATCACACCACCTGCAAAGACCCAATTTCTTCTTCCTCCTCACTCTCTTCCCTCCACATATACTTAGATCTCCTAAAAAACTGAGCAAAGTCCACTGATCGAGATGCTCTTAAAAATATTTGTATGCAAATTATATTTTGACTTTTTGGTATTGAATTTCTTCATTTTATTATGTGAATTGTGTTCTCATTTTTAATCACCTATTCCTATTTAAATAGGTGGACAACAATGGCAATACACAATTCACATAATAAAATGACTTAAAAGGCCATGACTAGAAGCGGTAAATGTTGGGGTTCGAATCTTGGAAACATGTATGGAAAAAACTCTAAGGATGATGTAAGGTCTAGATTGGATCCCTTGTGCGCACATAAAGACTAGAATTTGACATGTGGGTTGATTGCGCGACTCGTGGTTTACCTTCACAGTGGCTCTACGGGCGCGATCCTGTGGGCTTAGAATTAGTTCGACAAAATTTGGATCACCTAAATTTAAAATAAATAAATGAAAAGGGTCTGATTTGAGAATCAAAAGGTTACAAGTTTGACTTCTTTTAAGGGGGTGTATTCAATCAAGACTTTTAAAGAGTTTCAATGATTTTTATCGACTTTCAAAGTTTGGTGGTATTCAATTTAGACTTTTATAGACTCTTTAAAAGTCTACCCCTATTCGTTCAGACTTTTCAAAAAACTTTAAAAGTATACTGGTATTTGTTTCAAACTTTTAATTATAGTGTCTTTAATAGTTTACTGGTATTCAAAAACTTATCAACATTAATAGACTTGGTCAGAATAATATTTCTTAAATTAATATAAATAGATCAAATCTAACCCTCCAAACCCTAAACTTTTTAATTTTCTCTACAAATTTTTTTCTCTATCTAGCAGACAAATTTTCATAAATTTGTATCAAATTTTACGATACGTTTCAAATCTTTTAAAAATACTCATATAATTTATTTTTATCTCTTTATTATTTATGTAAAAAAATTTGTTGCGAATTCTTGCGGTTGTTCGCAGCAAATTTAATTGCTTGCTGCGAATGCTGCGAACAGCAAGCAAAATTATAGAGTTGCTGTTCGCAGCAAATTTATATTAATTTATTTATAAAAATATATTATTTAAAAAAAAATTATAAATAATGTATTAATAGAAGTTATTGAATCTTTGTAAGGGTATATTCAATTTAGAGTTAATGACTTTTGTTGGTTTTTTAATATGAAAAAGTTATTAAAGTTTATAAATGTTTCTCTAAAGGATTTTTATAGACTCTTTTGAAGTTGATGGAAGTTTAAAAAATTCTACGAAAGTTTAGGAAAATTCTACAAAAGTCATTTAAAATTGATCACTTTAAAATTCTTTGAAAATTTTTAAAAGTCTTGATTGAATACACTTCTTTTAGTTTGATCTAATTAATAAACTATGTACAATTTAAACTAGTTTAACTCCTTATAGTCCCTTTCCTGTGCACATTTTTAATGGTGTGGCTGTGGGTGTCCTCATCACTACAAAAAAATATAAAGTTCAATACCTAAAAAGCTGAGAATCCATTGTTACATGAGATGAGACCATAAAGCAGGACAGAGAACAAATTTGTTTAATGCAAGTTGCAATATACATATATGAAGTAAGGTGCATATTAATTCATATCTATTGCTCTATATTTTCATACAAAGTTACAAACAATTAAAAGAGAGAGCGTCTGAGACTCTGAGGGAGATGGCCTGTGTTGCTTTATCTTCGTTGATGCGAACAATAGAGTTGGACTTGCTGAACCCGGGACGAAGTGCCATAGTTGAGGATGAAGAACAGGTGAAACATCTCTACCAAAGTCTTGGCTTTTTGGAAGAATTCTTGGACAAGTCCAAGGATAACGTTGCGGTCAAAAATTTGGAACCTAAAATCAAAGATTTAGTGTTCCAAATAGAAGACAGAATCGAAAAGGAACTTGAAACAATATACGGAGAAACATACAGTGAGCCCCAACGACAAGAAGCTCAGAGAAGACTCCCCTCGACCTTATTAAAACAAGGAATAAGGGACACTGAAGATTTGATGGTCGAGATTAGGAAGATACTGAACAGCCCTGTCCAAGATTTTCCAAGTGCAGAGCCTCAAGCTTCGTGTGGTGGGTCATCAGAACACGCCGCAGCTTCAGTCGTTATGGAAGGACGTGGTCAGATATTTGAAGAGATAAGGGACCAACTCATCCGCAGCGGCTCATCAGGACGAGAAGTAATTTCCATTGTCGGGATGGGAGGTATTGGGAAGACAACTTTAACAAGAAGGTTGTATGAAGATCCATTGGTTTTGTCACATTTTGACATTCTTGGGTGGACTGTTGTTTCCGAAAAACATGATGTGAGGAGGATGTTACTTGACCTCCTTAACAATAAAGCAGCAAAGAGTGATGAAGTAACAGATGGTGAAATGGCAGAAAAACTAAAGAAATGTTTGAGCGGCAAGAGGTATCTAATTGTTTTGGATGACATATGGAGCACTCGTTCTTGGGAAGGTATCCAGTTGTGTTTTCCAGATGACAACTGTGGGAGTCGAATATTGTTGACCACTCGACACAAAGAGGTTGCTGATTCTGCAGATTCATCAGGTAACCGTCTTCATACCTTGGGTTTTCTAAATAAAGAAGAAAGTTGGGATTTATTTTGCAAAAGCTTTCCTGGAATACAAAGTTTGCCATTTGAACTTGAAACAATCGGGAGGAAGGTTGTTGATAAATGCCACGGGTTACCACTGGCAATTGTTGTAGTTGCAGGAGTGTTTCCAAAACTCAACAAAACTGTTGAGGAATGGCAAAATTTTGAAAAGCAAACAAATTCACTAGTTGTAACTACAGATCTTAGTGAGCAGTGTTCAAGAATACTCACCCTGAGTTACAACTACTTGCCACTGCATTTAAAAGCTTGCTTTTTATATTTGAGCACCATCCAAGAAGATGAAGAAATTATAGTTAAAAGACTTATAAGGTTATGGATTGCCGAGGGATTTGTGGAGTTAATAAACAGTGAGAACTTGGAAGAGGTGGCTCATGGGTATCTACAAGATCTTGCTGATAGAAGCTTAATCCAAATTCAGAAGCGGCGCTTCAGTGGCAAAATCAAGACGTGTAGGATGCACGACATAGTACATGACTTTTGTGTGAGGGAGGCAATAAAAGAGAAGCTGCTGAATGTTGATAACAAACAACATCCCTCCTGCGGCGAACTGCAACAAGAAGGATGTCGTTGGTTAAATTTCTGGCCAAAGAAGATCTTACAACGTGATGGTCTCCGAGAGTTAAATAATATGTATGTACCTCGCTCCATTTTGTATTTGCAGCATACAAGTTATGCATCATCATCAAAAGTTATTGAGCCAGATGATGACCTAAGATGGGGTTTATTGTTAAGAGTTTTGGAATTTAGTCCTCCAACCACCTCCGGCTCATCCTTAAATTGTATCTCTCTTCTGAGATATCTTCATATACGTGATTCATCTCTTCCACTTTGGTATGTCTTGCGTTTGCTGTCTTGTAGTCGGAATTTGCAGACTCTTATTGTGTCAAACATGCAAAGCAGCAGCGATGATTTTTATTCTGATTTTGATACTGATGATGATGATGAGGAGGAGGATGTGCAGGAGGAGGAGGAGGAAGATGAGGAGGAGGAGGAGGAGGAGGAGGAGGAGGAGGAGGAGGAAGAAGAGCTTAGTTCTTGGCATTATTTATCATCTGAAATGTGGGCATCGCAGGAGCTAAGTCATGTTGAGTGCAGCTATTTGATTTCACTTGATCCTCCGTATGAGGTTAAGGAGAAGCTGCAAACGCTTTATTGGTTGAGTCAGCAGCATTGCACAGAGGAAGTGTTTTCCAGGATTCCAAATGTAAGAAATTTGGGAATTTTCTGTCAATCCGAAAGTGATGGTGATGGTGATGGTGATGGTGATGGTGATGTTAATGGTGATGGTGATGGTGGTGGTGATGGTAATGGTGGTGGTGGTGATGGTGATGGTGATGGTGATGGTGATGTTAATGGTGATGGCGATGGTGGTGGTGGTGATGATAGTAGTGATAATGTTGGTAGTGGTGATAGTGGTGATGGTGATGGTGGTGGTGGAGGAGGCAACGAGGAAGACGACCCAGAGGTCGGTCTCAACAACATCTTTGAGAATCTTCACCATCTAAATCAACTTGAGACACTAAAGATTAAAGCAATTAATCAAAACATATGCCTCAGGAATCCACAAGCCTTTCCACAGAACCTCAAGGAGCTTACATTAATTAACACTCGTTTGCCATGGAAACATATAAACATCATTGGCTACATGCCTAGCCTTGAAGTACTCAAACTGAAATATGAAGCCACACGGGGCGAGATATGGGAACCAAGCGACGGGGGTTTTCGTGGGTTGAAGTTCTTGCTGATTGAAAGCTGCCTCTTATTCCAGTACTGGGAAGCCACTCCTGACCATTACCCTGTCCTTGAGCGCCTAGTCATGCGTAACTGCCCCTTTTTGGAAGAATTTCCTAGTAGCTTTGAAGATATGATCACTTTGCGTTTAATTGAGATTAACAGTTGCACTCCTTCTCTTTTGGCTTCTGCCCGGCAAATTCAAGAAGCACAACAAGATCTTGGAAATTACGGGCTCGCCGTTCGCGATGCTACACCGTTCTCGGTGCTACCGTTAGTACTGTCAATGATAGGGAAGGTAGGGAAGGTATTGCGCGTGGCTACATGGTTTTACAAACTTTTTGCTAGACTTTTGTAAGGTTTGTAATATTTCATAAAAGTACCAAGGACCATCCCTTATGTGGGAGGTGGATGGTTCAAGCCAGTGGGGAATTATAGTGTCATTATGTAATGGGTTGTATATGTGAGTGTTTCCTTTCCTTATAAATAAAAACAGTTATATTATAAACATTTTATTTTATTAATTTTTAAGAATTTCTTTTTTAGTTTTAAAAGACTATAAAAATTATTAACACTCTAAACCAAATACACATTTACAGTGTAAAAACTGAGTTAATTCAACTAAATATTTTATCTTGTTTTAGGCGTTACAAAAAGTGGTTTTATGTCAGTTTTAATGGCTATAATAAAGCTATTCACTCCTTATGTCAATTTTAATGGCAAGTTATTCACTCCTTCAACCCTTATATATACCGTGGGTAGTGCAGAAAATTTTAACAACACAATCAGACAAGAAAATCAGTTTTTTCTATCAAAAATTTTTGCTTCCACTCCTTTTTTGCTACTGTGTTCTTAGCTTTGCTCTAGTTCGCAGGGTTCAAAGTTTGGGTGCTCAAACGATTGAACCATAATACGTTCTATCCTGGAAACCTAGGATACAAAGCTCCTAACACTTGTGGAGGTAGCAAATAAGGTTTTAAGGAAAGAGTGTTTCGCTCGACTCGTACTAAACATCTTCTCTCGGTATCCTTTCGTTCTCCCCACCACATTCGATCATTCTTCCCAACTTTTCCATAAAATAATAACCCTTATTTCGTAGGATTATTATTACGTTTTTTCCACCAAATATCCAACATTTGCTTCTTTCTTTTTGCCCTTGCTTCTTTCGTTTTTCTACATCAGCTGCATTCTTCCATCAACCGGTTTCGTATTTATTCCTGTGTTTTCCTGTTGCGATCGGCTATCATTGGCGGTTGAAGAGGCCAGTATCACGCCAATCGTAGGGGGTGGGGCAGCGGTGACTATTCATGCTAGTCGGGCGATTTCTAACTAATTTTTTTGAAAGACCAAAGAAACGAAACTTCATTGAAATCAAGCTCATACAAAATATATATTGCTGGGCAGTCGGTTGTTTGCAATTCAACGCTAGCCAAGAAGCCTTCTGGACAGATTACCAGCTGGCAATATACAGATTAGCAACATGAATCAAAGTGGTTGGGTCTTTACACTGATTATGCCATACCATCACATTTAGGTTTTCCCATATGGCCCAACAAACCATCTCAGCCTTCGCACGCAACTCCCTAGACAAGGATCTCCACATTTCAAGCACCCAAAACTGAACAGAGTCTACCCAACCAAGGTTCCATTCCGGATTCAAAAGCCGCCAACAATCATGAGCGAATATGTAATTAGAAAACAAATGGATGTAGGAATATGAACAAGTCAATTTAATCACAAAATAATATTTATATATATACACACTAAAATATATATATATATATATATATATATATATATATATATATATATATATATATATATATAAAAGGACTATTTAAGGACTGTTTGTATTTGAATATAATCCTATAGAGTTTTTTGCACTTTTGGTCCCACGACTATAGTGGCACTAGCAGAATTGATCCACGACTTTTGAACCTTGTAATTTTAGTCCACGACTATTGATTTTTTTGCAAAAATGGTCCTTCCGGCCATTTTTCCGTTAAAATTTCACCGGAAAAAAAATTCTCAATTTTTAGCCGGGTTAAAATGGTCCTCAGCACGTTTGCCGGATCATCCGAAGACATCGGCTAAAAATGGAGAATTTTTTTTTTCCGGTGAAATTTTGACGGAAAAGTGGCCGGAAGGACCATTTTTGCAAAAAAATCAATAGTCGTGGACTAAAATTGCAAGGTTCAAAAGTCGTGGATCAATTCTGCCAGTGCCACTATAGTCGTGGGACCAAAAGTGCAAAAAACTCTAATCCTATATATATATATATATATATATATATATATATATATATATATATATATATATATATATATTTACTTATTTATTTGTTTGTTATATTCTGCAAAATCTATTGAGAGTTGAGACAGCATTGCTCGAACAACATTTATATACAGAGAGAAACATTGAAAAAGTTGTTATTAAATCATCTAATAATTATATTCTCATTAGCTGTACATTGTAATATATTTTTTAGGAATAAGGGTCAAATAGGCCATCGAACTGCACACAATAAAACAATTAGGCCACTGAACTTAAAAAACCAACAATTGGGTCCCTAAACTAATCAATTTCAAACAATTCTTCCAATTTGAAGGTTTTCAACAGGTCAACAGGTCATCCTTCCAAATTAATTATTTTTTAAAATTTATATTTTAAAAATTAATTATTTAAATTAAAAAAAAAAAAAAAAAAAAAAAAAAAAAAAAACTGGTTTCACCGTCTCCGGCTGGATTCCAGTTTTTTTTTTTTTTTTTTTTTTTTATATAAATAATTAATTTTTAAAATTTATTTTTTAAAAAAATAATTAATTTGGGAGATGACCTGTTGACCTGTTGAAAACCTTCAAATTGGAAGAATTGTTTAAAATCGATTAGTTTAGGGACCTAATTGTTGGTTTTTTAAGTTCAATGGACTAATTGTTTTATCGTGTGCAGTTCGATGGCCTATTTGACCCTTATTCCTATTTTTTTACTAATAATTAAGTATTTTCTATATTATTTGAACGTATAATTATATTATTCTCTTGATCTTACTTACTTTATTACTTTTTTTTTTTTTTTTTGAAAGGCTTTATTACTTTTTTAGTCTGTTTCATGTTTCAAATTATAATAATTACTACATAATATTTCCTAAATATTTCAATATTTTCTATACTTGATCATATAATAATACCTTTCTTTTCTGATGATCTCATTTATTGTTTTACTTTTTTAGTCCATTTCATATTTTAATATTACTACATACGGAGTAATATTTTATAAATAATTAAAAAAAAAATTTTTTACTTTTTTTTTTTAATGCTACTAGCTCTATTACATTGTAGTAGAGCCAATAACGCCTCCACTGAGGCTCGAACTTACAACCTTCCAAATGGAAGTCCAACCCGGATACCATTAGACCACATAGTCCTGGTTTTTTATACTTAATCATACTTAATCATATAATACCTTTATTTTCTGATCTCATTTATTGTCTGACTAGTTTTTTGCGCGATTGAGATAATGCCCAATGTTTTTTTTTTTTTTTTTTTTAAAATAAGTACTTTAAAGTATATCAAGGCAAGATTATATTGGAATTGTTCATGCATAGCTAATTGAATGTTGAATTTGCGTATTTAAATATGTAATTCTAAGTTTACAAATGTAAGATAATATAGTCAAGATTGATTATAACTGTCAATAAAATAATTGTATAGGTATGGTTGAAACCAAATACGGGATATAAGGGAGAGCAAATAAAAATTATGGCATAAAATATTAAATATATACTAATATTGAAGAGCTAACTGCTGATTGCCAAACAAGGACGAGGTAGTTTCCCACTTCAATTTGTTGTGTGATTTGAATACACTTTTTGTCAATAAACCCTCAAGTAGTTAATATGATTGACTTAATTATATATTTTTTATTTTTTTAAAACAATTATTATTATTATTATTATTATTATTATTATTATTATTATTATTATTATTATTATTATTATTATTATTATTATTATTATTATTATTATTATTATTATTATTATTATGTATACCCTTAGTTCATTTTACATGTTAATCTAAACAACTAATTTTTTTTTTCAAATATCTATTTACCAATCGTTGATATAATTCGCAGGTCAAATCCGCTAATATAATCCACTAACTACTGATTGTCAAACAAGGACATTGCGAGATAGTTCTCACTTCAATTTGTTGTGTGATTTGAATACTTTCTTTGCCAATAAATCCCTCAAGTAGTAAATATGATTGGCTTTATTAATTATATATATTTTTAATTTTTTATGATATTAATAAAATATTTGGTAAATAAATATATAGCATTATATGGTATTATAACTGTGATAATTAATTTAAAAAATAGTGCACAAAAAAGATAATAGACAATGTAGTGAATATAATCAATTGATGAATTTGAATGTAAAGAATTTTTACATTGGCGAAAAATAAAGACAATATAACTAATAAAATTATTTCTCTTAATTAATTTATTGATAATGAATAATTTTTTTTTTAATAAAGACATTGTAAGGACAATGTAGAGAATATTATCAATTGATGAATTTGGATGTAAAGAATTTTTATATTGGAGAAAAATAAAGACAATATAACTAATGAAATTATTTCTCTTATTTAATTTATTGATAATGAATATTTTTTTTGAATAAAGACATTGTAGACACATAATTCTAAATTAAAGAAATGCATATGTATTATTTTTTGTTGTAGTTACTAAATTATTATTTAATTTAATAAGAGTAAAATAGAGTACTAATTATGCCAATTTTTATTGGGATGAGGTTCGAAATTAAGACCTTTCTTATTGAAATCAATAAGTTAATGGTGAATTAACAGAAATTAGTGGAAAAAATAATATTTAACGGAAAAGTTAACGGATAATCATATTCATTAAGGATAAATTAGTAAATCTTAAGGGAAAAATTAAAATCTGATCAATCTGAGCCATTCATTTGATTTAAAAATTTGACTGCCATTTTTTCTACCCATTATAGGCCTATAACTCTCTTGGGCTCTTATTAGTATAACTAGTTTTTTACGCGCATTGCGCGATTGTATAATGCCCAATGTTTTTTTTTAAATAAATAGTTTAAAGTATATCAAGGCAAGATTATATTGGATTGTTCATGCATAGATAATTGAATGTTAAATTTGCGTATTTAAATAGACAATTCTAAGTTTACAAATGCAAGCTAATATAGTCAAGATTGATTATAATTATCAATAAAATAATTGTATATGTATACTTGAAACCAAATACGGGACATAAGGGAGAGCAAATAAAAATTAGGGCATAAAATATTAAATATATACTAATATTGAAGAGCTAACTGCTGATTGCCAAACAAGGACATTGCGAGATATTTTCCCACTTCAATTTGTTGTGTGATTTGAATACTCTTTTTGTCAATAAATCTCCCAAGTAGTTCATATGATTGGCTTAATTTTTTTTTAAACAATTATTAATAATAATAATAAT